GTTCGCCACCACCCCAGCACAATGCCTTTAGTGCCAGCGACGCGCGCGAGGCCATCTCTGGCGGTGGATTCGGCAGTCTCAAGGAACGCATGGCGGCCCTCCAAGGCAAGGCCGTCGCAGGTCAACCGGCCCCGCCCCCAAAGCCAAAGAAACTTGTTCTCGAGCGCGCGGCCAGTCCACCACCTGAAGGCGACGACCACCCTACCGAGGAAGGCCCTGCGCCCGAGTCCAAGTTGACCGAGGAGGCTGGAGATGACGACGAAGAGGAACGTGCTCGTCGCGCCCGTATCGCAGAACGCATGGCCAAGGTTAGCCTTGTCGACTCTCATTTGATCTGTGCTAACACTATTACAGCTTGGAGGTGCACGCTTTGGAATGGCCCCGCCCGTCTTTGCGCGCCGCGAGACACCCAAGGAGGAACCCGAGGCCAAGCCCGCCGAGCCCGCCGTCGACGACAAACCCGGCGAACCTGCTGCGGAAGAGGCCGCTCCTGCCCATATTACGTCTTTGCCTGATCAACCCACGGTCGAGCCTGATGAACCCTCCCTCGACACAAAGCCCGCCGAGGAGCCATCGACCGAAACCGAGCCAGCCGTACCCAAGCCCGACGATGCAGACGCTGGCCCGCGTATCATCGAGCCAGAGGCTGAACAAGTCACCTCGCCTCCGATTACGTCTCCCCCGCCCGGTGCCTCTCCGCGTTCTCCCCCATCCAGCATGCCCATCCCTGCAGCGCCTAAACGTGCAGCGCCTCCCCGCAAGAAGAGCTCTCAGAAAAAAGCAGAGAGCAAGCCCGAAGAGGAAGCCGAGCCCGAGGAGAAACCAACTCTGGACGTCCAAGGTGCCCAAGTCGAGGACGAGACCAAGGACGAACCCGAGGCTGCAAAGGAAACCCCTGCTGCAGAGGAACCCACCAAACAAGACAACGAGGACGAGACTCCAGCAACCAAGCAAGAGCTCCTAGAGCACGCTCCTGAACGTCCCGCCTCTCCCGCCCCAGCTCCAGTCCAAGCCAACACGCCCCCACCCCCCGCAACCCCATCCCGCCAAAGCTCCATCGCATCAGCCGCCCAACCGGCGTCCCCAATCCCAGTTCGCGCAAGCTCATTCGGCCAAGTGCGCCCAGCATCGCCCATCCCACGTCCCGAATCGCCCATCCCGCGTCCCGCCTCGCCTGCGCCCGAGCGCGCGGGTTCCCCTGGGTTGATTCGTCCAGGTTCCCCAGTACCAGCTCGCTCAGCCTCTCCTGTACCGGCCCGCGCAGCCTCTCCAGGCTCAGCCCGATCCTCATCGCCCGTTCCAGCGCGTCCAGTCTCGCCTGTTGCAGCTCGCGCCGTCTCCCCACACCAAATCACGCCCGCGCCAATCTCCCCTCCACCCCGCCGCTCATCCATCCGGCGAATGTCGCTCTTGAGATCCGAAGTCAAGATGGATCTGGGCCCAGAGGTCAAGAGCGAAGAGCCCAAACCCACGACCGAGGAACCCAAACCTGTAACAGAAGAACCTACGTCTCTGACCGAAGAACCCAGGGCCGAGGAACACGTCTCGCCCGAAGACGAAGAGCGCGCGCGTCGAGCGGGTATCGCAGCGCGCATGGCCAAGCTCGGAGGCGTCCCGATGGGGATGGGCTTCGGAGCGCCGAGGAGGGCGAGTACCGAGATTGAACGCAGGCCAAGTGCGGAACTCGAGCGTAGGCCCAGTCTAGACCTTGGACGTCGACCGAGCGCCGAGCTCGAACGCAAATCTAGCATCCCCGAGCACGCACCGACCGACGAGCCTGCGTCGGTATCGAGAAAGGGTAGTGTAGGGAGTGTGCGTCGGGAGAGTGGAGATGTCTCGCAGGTGGGTCCTGCATAAAGTGTAAATGAAAGTAGATGAATTAATACAGTCTGATTGTACGTAGATGCGTCGGGGGTCTGTTGGGAGTGTCGAAGGTGGGGATGTCAAGGTAAGACTGAGCAATGTGAGATGAGTGAGTGACTGATGGTCTTGAAGGAGTCGACTCCGCAACGTTCGCCTTCGGTTCGTCGATCGCTCCCGCCTCATCCGCCGCCTGCTGTTCCAGAGGAATCTGCGCCAGCCGCTGAGGAAGAGGTCGATGAACCAGCTCCACCACCGCGTCCTAGCATGCCGCCCCCTCCTCCAGTAGCTGCTCCTGAAGAGGAAGAGGTCGACGAGCCAGTCCCGCCGCCGCCACCGCGTCCCAGCATGCCTCCACCGCCACATCCTCCCGCAGCTGCTCCAGAAGAAGATAGGGAAGACTTTGACGAACCAGCTCCACCGCCGCCTCCACGGCCCAGTATGCTGCCTCCGTCTGCACCTTCGCAAGCTGAACCAGCGGCAAAAGAGTTTGTACCACCGCCGCCCCCGCCGGCTTTGACGTCTCCGCCTGCTCCTCCGGCATTCTCGCCCCCGCCGGTTCCGTCGACGTTTTCGCCTCCGCCGCCCCCACCGGCGCTGTCGTCCTCGTTTGTGGCTCCACCTCCGCCGCCGCCGGTGTTTGCGCCTCCCCCGCCTCCCACGGGTGTGCCTCCTCCGCCACCATCCGGTGCTCCTCCACCACCACCGTCCGGCGCCCCTCCGCCACCTCCATCTAGCGCACCGCCCCCGCCTCCGACGAGCCAACCTCCCCCGCCCCCTTCTTCCCGCCCTCCTGTGCCAGCGACACCAGCGTCGCCCCCGCCTTTGTCTCCGCCGCCTAGGCCGACCGGTGCTGCTCCTCCAGTTCCCAAGTCCCCTCCACCACCAATGCCAACCAGCTCTCGCCCAACACGCGCCGTCTCCCCACCACAAGCCGAACCAGAAGAGAGAGAAGTCAAACGTCGGGATAGCGTTCCCATCCCCAAGCGCGATTCAAGCTACATCTCTCCGTCGCGCTCGCCTGATGAACCATCCCGCGCGGCGCAGTTTGTTGGGCTATCTGAACCTGAACAAATCTCCCCGATTGTTCCGACCGTTTCGGCCATTGTGACGAGCCCAGCCCTGGTGTCTAGTCCCCCTCCCGTGTCGAGCCCGCCCGCAGACGAAGAAGACGAAGAACAAGCGCGTCGTCGGACGATCGCTCAGCGTATGGCCAAGCTTGGCGGTCTCAAGTTTGGTATGCCTGGAATGGCACCTCCTCCGCCCCGCCGTCAGCCTACGAACCCGCCAGAGGAGGAGGTTAAAGACGAGAGCAAGAGCCCAGTTCCAGAGGTGGCTCCTGCCCCGAATTTCGAGGACGATGGGTCGGAAGAGTCTGAGCGAGCCCGCAGGGAGCGTATTGCAGCCAAGATGGCTACGATGGGCGGGATGCGCTTTGGGATGCTCCCGCCTGGAGCGGGTGGCCCGCCCAAACCCTCCGTGCCACCTCCACCCAAGCCCAAGTCTCCCGAGCGCGTTGCGTCCGAGGCCGAGGACTTTTCGACGATTTCGGAAGACCACAGTCTCGAGGAAGAAGGCGTCCAGGTCGAAGCAGAGGTAAGCGAGCCCGAGCATTTGGGCGTCGACGAGGACGAGCCTGCTCCGCCTCCACCACCTCGTCCCGCCAATCGGCCGCCTCCTGTCCCACGCGCAGAGCCTGTCTCACCGCCCAGCCGTCGCTCGTCTGCACAACGTCCGCCTATTCCGACCGGCTCGCGCAAGAGCTCGGTAGACGTGAGCGCTGCGCAGCCGCAAGGATTTACAATGGTCGAAGCGCCAGATGAGGATTCCGACGGGGAGCCCGCGCCTCCCCCGCGTCCGACTACTCGTCCGCCTCCACCGCCTAGTGCCCCGCCACCGCCCCCGCCGCCTGCTGCTGCCTCCGAGTCGGACTTTGAACATACTGGGATGGAAGATTCTTTGACTCGTTCGTTTGTGAGCGAGGACGAGACGCTCTACCCGACGGGTAAAGGCAAAGGCGCCGAGTACTCGGCGCCCAGCTACGGCGCGTCCTCGTTTACGTCGCGTCCGAGCGGCCGGGAGCTTCCCGTACCACCCAAGCCCGCGACGATTCACCCTACCGCCGAGCTGCCTCCTGGTCCAGAGCCTGACGGTGACATGCTCATGGCGCTTTGGGGCAAGATTGGCACGCAGGTTATGCAGAATGCGATCGCGCTTGCCGAAAAGGGCAAAAAGTCGATTGTCGGAGACGGCACGAGCACAGGCTTTGTAGCCGCCGTGCTCGCTGGTACTCAGGGCGCATACAAGGCGTCGTACGGCTGGCCAGTGTTTGCTCAGACGGGATCAAGCGTCCAGCGCCGGTCGAGCGACATCATGCCCGGGGATATCATTGTGTTGACTGACGTAAAGCTCAAGGGGCATAAAGGATTGCAGGGTTATTCGATGCAAGTGAACGGAGAGTTGGCTGGTGTGGTCGGTGAGTTTGAAGCCAAGAAGTCCAAGGTGAAGGTGTGGCAGCCTGCGCTACATCCCAATTCGTATCCTGTGAGTAAGAAGTTGCAAATCCGTCTCCGACAAGCAACTGGAATGCGTGTCTTCAAACAGACGGTCGAGTCGGTTAGTTATCGATTGGAGGATCTCAAGAGCGGGTCTGTTGTGGTATGTCTCTCTGGTGTCGGAGTACAGGACGAGTGCTGATAGGACGTGTAAGGTCTATCGTGTTGCCGAGGACGCTTAAAGTCTTGAATCGTGTGGATGTCTGGGACCTGTTTTTATGGAAAGTATCACTGTAAATGAATGTCGAGTGGTTGAAACTATAATTACGATAGGTGCTCTCGCACTCGCTATCTCGGGCCCTCAGTCTGTGGATATGTCGTTGTTACCACCCGTCCTGGAAATAATCTCAAGTAAATATGAATGTAAATATTGCAACTATTCATCCAAATTGGATCAAAGCTATCATTCTTTCTGGACGATGGCTGAGACATTCCAAAAGTATGTTCGAACGGGGAAAGCAGGGTGAATAGGTGGGAGTTGGTAGAAGGCTGCAAGGTGAGCGGCTATATACACCAGTTCTAGTCCCAAAACGGCGCTCGGCTGCTGCCAACGGTGATGACCCCTCCCGCTTCTCATTTTGCAATGCCTGGCTAGCTCAATCGGTAGAGCGTGAGACTCTTAAAATGGACATCTCAAGGTTGTGGGTTCGACCCCCACGTTAGGCTAACGGTCATTCTTTTTCCTGCACGGCCATCGAGCCGTTTGTTCAGAGCTCCAGGTTGAGGTGGTTTTGTTCTTCAGTGGGGTGAATTTGGGGAGAGCATAGATGCCAAATGAGTGTATGACGATCTGAGACTGAATCAGGTCGGGCATTGTATAACAACCCTTGGACGAAAGTATATATGGGGGCGACCGGGGTTCACTACTATCGCGTTCGTTTTGTAAATTTATTAACACTTTCATATACTATTAGAGACATAGTAGATTGATACTAGAAAAATGAACCATGAATGAAGAAAATTTCGAGCGAAAATTCAATTCTCCCTACTCCTGAAGCTTCAAGATGAGAGAATGTTAGCGGAATCAGAAGCACAAGGTTTGGCCATAGAAGTATTTCTATTGAATCTATGACTAACCCGGACTCGTAGATGAAAACTTTTGAATGCCAAAATGCGCTGTTGCTCATTGCATATATGCATATAGTTTAAATCTCACAAAGAGAGCTTAAGTCTGCTGAAAGAATCATCATACTTTGACAAGAATGTAGAGCTCATAGTTTCACAGCCCATAGTTTCACTTCACGGCCCATAGTTTTGTCACTTTCATACTTTCACCACTTGGATGACTAAAAGACTCCTTACTCAGACTTTTGTACTGGTCATTGGCTGCAGCATGCTAATTGGGCAGCCATGGATTGCAGCCTGCAGAGAGTTCACAGCGAGCACTGGGCTCGGGAACAGGCACTGAGCACGGGGCCGGGTGCTGGTGCCGGTCATGCACGACCCATCGGTCGGCTCAGCCGCCAGCAAGACTGGGGGACGCCGGCGCTGCCAAAGGCGGCACAAGCATGGCTGGATCTCCGGCTGCAAGGACACCTCGGGGGTTGGGGGTTTTCAACTGAGGCAAGCCAATGGGGCGTGCTGGAAGGAGATGGTGGGCAGGAAGAAAAGCGACGCACGACAATGGGTGCTGTCATGGTGCAGTCATGGTCAAGTGTGAGTTGATGCATCACTGCGTGTGGCACCTGACTGCCTCGAGACCACGAGCTAGCTCAACTACCTTCAAGGATCACCAAGGAGAACAAACGTTTGCCGGAGTGGGATAACATCCAAGCTAGTCTCTCGAGGCATCACCCGACTCGATATATACTCGGATACATCTGGGGACGAGCTGGAGGCTCGAGCGGTGTACTCAGTCCAGCTGCAGGCGCTGAAACTCAACTCCAAATAATCGGGAATAAAATTACAAGGCATGCGCAGCATGCCAAAGCTCTAATGATACACAGTGAGGACAGAACATGGCGCGGGGCGAGACAGAAACAGGGAAGAGACTTGGAAAAGGGGAAAGTTGGAACTGCGAGCACATACTATATAGAACTTTAGTGGAGCAAGACTTAAAAATAAAGAGCCGGAAATAAGGGGTTTCAGACGAAAGGTAGCAAGTCAGAGAGCATGGTAGTACCGGCAGTAGGGAGGGTAGTCGAGGGACGAAAAGTAATGATAGTGCGGCATAGGATGTACTGGAGTGAATGAAAGCATGGGCAGCGCAAACGTGGTTATATGCTGAAGGAGGTCGGAGGATGTTGCACCATGCACTCGCACCTCGCACCCTTAGCTCGCCCGTCACCGAACGACAGGTACCGCAGAGCAGCTCAGTCTACACACCCCCGCCGTGCCGGGGCCAGGCGGCACGGTTGGCCCGAGTGCGGTAGACGTCGCCGTCGTACGAGCTGTCCAATTCGTGGTTGGGCTAGGCCGACGCTGATATTTGTCGGTCGTATTCGAGGGTAATCGTGGTCGAATATTGCCGCCGCCATCTTCATCCACCCGCAGCCCCTCTGCTCCCAGCCCCTTCCGCATCTGGTCCTTCCCTCCACTCCGTATCGCCGGGCTAACCTAGAGCCCTGGCGGAGGCAGCCGGTTCGCCCTCCCCTGTCCGCCCCTCTTCCCTCTGCGTGTGCGCTTCAGCTTCGGGGTACCTTCCACACCCGCGTCGAGGGTCGTCTCTGGTCGCTCGAGCGCCGCATCGACAGTATCCGGGTCAAAGGACCCGAGTCGAGTCTCCGGGTTTCCCCTTCGCGCATCTTGTTCCTCTTGGGTGTGTCTGTCCTTCGCGAGCAACGAGCTGCTTGCTGCTCCTTGTGTGCTTGGGTGGGAATTTGCAGCGGCGTTCTGTGTGTTGCAAAGTGAGCGGCGAAAGAGAATATGCGCCGTGCAAAGATATAATACATACCCGGAGTGCACGTGGGACATACAGCGCAAACTTGGGTTCACGCAGCGCCTTTCGTACTGCAGGTGCACGCTGCTCGGCTTCGACCTCAACTTCGACCTCGGGCTTGGGGTTTAAGATAATTAGGAATCTGGGCTCACCACATGTGAGGAAGAGGGCTTACCTTTTCGTCAGCGACGACCGGGCTTTCTTCCTCCTGATGATACTCGATCAGGAGTGGCGCCTTGGCAGGCGCATGTGGATAGCCCGAGGGTCGGATGACCAAAAGTCGGATAGCCGAGCAAGCGGGCAAATTTGCGACAAGTAACGAGATACGCATCCGCGCTGTGGTGGCTACACCACTTCGTGAGCCTAGATCACAAACGTCGGGAACAGGCACTCACTTGAGAAGATAGGATACATTGAGCGGCGCAAGAGATAAGCGAGCCCCATGTTGACCAAGGCGTGCATGGGCCTCGGGTCGCGGACTTGTGAGTGAGCCAAGACAAGGCTCATCGCCTCCTTGCGTTGCCCAGCCGTGAGCATCAAGGCGAGAGATCGTCGGGGAGCTACAAGAGCGACTCTGCCGCTCTCCTCGAGTACGCTCGGCTTTCCGTGGGGTCGGCATGCAGCCGGATTGGCCTGGGGGAGTGTGGTATGAATACCAAGTAGGATTGGCAAGCGGAGTGGAAGTGAGAACATGAGTGTCGGTCGAACAACTCCTATCAGTAGAGCTAGGGCGATGCAATCAGACTCGGACATATACACCACATGGACGAACTTACTCGGATAGGGGCTGGGGTAAAGAGATTGACGGAAAAAGGCGTGCAACCGTCGCACGTCGACTGCAGCACGAACAACCTCGGCTCTAGGTACTCGTGAACTGCTGAGAGCCAGCTCGAGCACCTCCTTGCGTTGTCCGATGCTTAGCGTCGAGACAGGGGCTGGTGTGCGAACGCCAAGTAGGGTCGGCAAGTCAAACGGAAGCGAGACCACGAGAGTCGGTGGAGCAACTCCCGCACGTAGAGCTAGGACGAAGCGATGAGCCTCAGACATGTACGCTGCTATGGACGAACTTACTAGAATAGGAACTGGGGTAAGGAGACCGAAATAGAAAGTTGTGCAGCCAACGAGCGTTGATTGCGAGGTGAGCAACCTCGGCTCTAGGTGCCCGTGAACTTCTCAGAACCAACTCGAGCACTTCTTCGCGTCGTCCGATGCTTAGCGTCCAAATAGGAGCCACGGCCTTTCGCACAATATGTTCGCGCAGCTCGGCTCCAACCTTGACCTCGGGCTTAGGTTTCAGTTATGTTAGAAACCTGGGAAAACCACATGCGAGGAAGGGAGCTTACCTTATCGTCGCTGACGACCGGGCTTTCGTTCTCCTGACGATACTCGATCAGGAGAGGCGCCTTGGCAGGCGCATGTGTATAGCCCGAGGGTCGGATAGCCAAAGGTCGGATAGCGAAACAAGCAAGCAAGTCTGCGACAGATAGTGAGACGCGCACTCGTGCCGTGATGGCTACATCACTGCATGAGCCTAGATCATAGACGCTCAGAACAGGGACTCACTCGGGTAGGTGGTAGGATAGATCGAGCGACGAAAGAGATAATCGAGCCCCATCTTGGTTAGGGCGTGCGCGGGCCTTGCATCGCGTGCGAGCGAGCGAGCCAGGACCAGGCTCATCACCTCCTTGCGTTGCCCAGCTGTGAGTACCAAGGAGCGAGATAGTCGGCGAGCTACTAGAGCAATTCGGCCACTCTCGAGTGCGCTTGACTTTCCGTGGGGTTGGCACGCGGTCGGATTGGCCTGGGAGAGCGTCGTACGGAGACCGAGTAGGGTCGGCAAGTCGAACGGAAGCGAGACCATGAGTGCTGTTAGAGCAACTCCCACCCGTAGAGCTGGGGCGGCGCGATGAGTCTTGGGCATATATACTACTATAAACGAACTTACTCGGATAGGAGCTGAGGTAAAGAGACCGACGGGAAAGGTAGTGTAGCCGGCGAGCGGCGATTGCTGGATCAACCTCGGTCCTAGATACCCGCGAGCCTCTCAGAACCAGCTCGAGCACTTGTTTGCGTTGTCCAATGCCCAAAGCCGAGATAGGGGCTGGTGGGGCGACGTTGACATGAGTCCTCGCGGGTCGTATGGAGCGAACCAGTAGCAGCGACAGGTCCACGAGCATAGCGAGTGCGATAGCGACGGCACACCAATCACCTCCGCGCAAAAGCGAGTAAAACATCGACAGAAGATTAAGCGCAGCGTCGCCGCACTTGGTGGCACCTGCGCGTACTCGTCAGCATCGCGCACTTACGATCGAGTGTTATCCTATCGCTTACTTAGTCCGACACTGGGTAGCACCTGCGCAACAACTTGCATAGATCCGCGAATGCCGTGGATAACTGCATGGATATCGTCGAGTCCAATTCCACGACTCGGAGGTTGAGGTGGGTCGAACAAGGGCCCGAACAACACACTCAGCGCGGGTTCGTGGTATAGAGGTAGGTCGAAGACATGGTCGAAGTCCGCGGCGAGGTCGAAGAAATGAGTAGGGGAGGGGGAGTAGTTAGACTCGGCGAGGATGTCGCCAAGGTCGGTCAAGTTGTGAGGGGCCGAAAGAGTAGATGTAGGGAGACTGTGCAACACTCGTTAACAATCGTTCAAGGTGCAAAAACGTAGTCAGGGGGAAGCTTACGACACGCTCGAGCTGTCGAGAGCGAAGAACAGCAGCGTCAGCGCCGTGAGGCCAGTGACGAGTGTTCGGGCGAGGGATTGGGTCATGGCGACGCGAAGATT